ATATATATATTTCAGTTCAAAAGCCACATGCAAACTGGATAATAACTAAGGCATTGGTACTTAGCAAAATAAGCAAGGTTGTTATTAAAGGTAAGTCCAACATTGCTCAAATTTATCTATTGAATAACATGGAGTTTGTTCAGTTTTATTCAATAAAACATATGGTTGTTTTCTTTATTTCTTTGATATAACAGAAAAATACAACTTTGCAAACTCTTTACTGCCAGAGTGTTCCATCTTATCTACATTGAATAGCAATCATATTTATTTTTTGTGTTGTTCATGGTTGTTCTCAATGGACCAGTAAGCACATACAATACAATTCTAATCTGACAGTTTTATGGAACTCATGAGTTGATGGACCAGCAATTTTTATAGCTATTTAGTAATGGGCTATAAATCAACATGACCCAAGACAACTATTTGTAGCAACAGTAGGAATAAAAATGCTGCTGCTACGACTACCGCTACTACCACTGACAGCCAACACTTACAGAGTACATATAGACGTTGCTCTAACCCTCTTCCAGTATTTACTCACTAACCCTCATAGCAAATCTGCAATGGGTAATTTTAGGTTTTGCCTTTGGAAGATGAACAAGGAGTGGCAGAGATGCCCTTGACTCACAACAGAAAGAAACATGAGACGAAGATCCCCCTACAGTCCTATGTAGTTTTTGAGGTGTAACAAAACTCTTGGCCCAGTTCCATAATTCCTGAGCTTAATCCTCTCCCATTGTTGTTTCACCTTGTTCTTTCCCTTTCTAAAACACTTCCCCCAAATCTTTCCTACTGAGCTCAACCCATTTTTAATCCTTATTGCCCCCTTTCTCAACAATATTTTGCAATTGTTATGCCTCCCTGTTATATTAGCATATAAACTTCCTAAGAGTAGAGATATTTTGTTGTTGAGAACTGCATTTACATGACTATATGTCCAAGAGGAAGTCAGCATAAATGTATCACAAACTGACAAATAATTTGTCTTCTGTCTCTTTGTCATGGGCATGCAGGTTCCATTGCACAGATGGAAGGAGTCTTTTTGTTTGAGAATTTTTCATTAGTATAGTGTAGATTAGTTGACACTATATTAATATCTTGCCATAGTTTGGTATAATAACATACTGTATACAATAGAGTGGAGTGGAAAGTACACTGGCCTTAAGACTGGAAGGTTTGAGCTCCAGTGCTTGCTCTTATGTCATTATGGGACGATGGTGATGATGATAGTGATGATAATAATAATAACAACCTCACCTCTTTTGGCGCTAATATTTTCATTTCCCAAATGACCTAAACAGGTTGTACCTGATAAACTGCAAGAATTTGGCTCTAACATTCTATTCCTTATAGGAATAGAGACTTCCTAATATATGCTTCACCTACAGCAGCTTGCAACATGAGGGCATTTAATAATGCAAATAATATTGTAGAGAAGACGGGATGACATACATTCCTGATCTGGAACATTGGTAACGTTTTTATAATGCAACATGTAATAATCTGTCTAGATTTTTTTGGTCTTCAGAATATAAGAAGAAAACATTCCTTTTAAAAGTTTTGTTATGCTTTATCCCTTTTAAAAGTGATACTCTTGATTATGTTTGATAGAAGAATTTACTTTAGAAATGCAACACCATGGCTTCCTATTCACTTGTGCTTTATTTCTCTAGCCAATCACATGTTCAGATGACCAAGAGGCTCACAGCTCTGCATGCTGGCATCGACCTTCAAATGACACAACCAGTCATGTCTCTTCTAACTTAACTGGACTGTATGTGAGCCCAGGAGTCCTTGTACACTCACGATGCCCACACATAGAATTATCCAATACACAGGTAATGTTTGATATAGCAGCTTCTACCCAGGTTGGAATGTGTTCTATACAGGGACGTATTTGTTCTATTCTTTCTCAGGAAATATATTTGATCATTTAATTCACCCGCATTCATGTTAAGCATCTGCTGTATTCTCAATATCATTATAAGTCACTGTGAGGCAATTTGTAAGAATAATAATATCCGATAATTCCTGTTTTCTAAGAGCTGAGCCTAGATCTAGTTGGGGACTCAGATATTCTAGTTGGGGACTCAGATATTTGCACAGATAGAAAATATATGACAAAAGGGAATAAATGTGAAGTATAAATGTAGGTGGGGAGAGGCAGAAGAGCATATATGCTGGCAATGTAGGGTTTATACACAAACTAGTGTGTGATGGGAGACTGTATCATATTCAGAGTTTCAAGGGTCTTACTCAGTTGGTGATTTCCTTATTTTCTTCTACTATTCTAGCCTCCAGATCTGTGTGTTGCACATTCTATAAGTTTCTTTAATCTGACCTCTGATGCACTTGACCTTAACATAGAAACCTGACTCTGTTCTCCAGATACCTTCCACTAGCTTTGGAGACTAGATCCAGCTCTCTTTGGTTCCTGACCTTATCCATTGGCTGAATTAACTTTACCTCAGGACTTCAATCCTATTATAGAAATTTGACCTCGACTATAAATTACTTATTCTACTTGAAAGTTTGTTTGGGTTTCCCTAAGTCTCGAATTCCTACCCTCTGTTGCTTAATCTTGCCGTAGAGAGCCTGAACCTTGTTTCTTGATTCTGGATAAAAATATAAACTGTTCATACTGTTGCTGAGACAAGGTACAAGAATGGATGAGCTCAGTAAGATGGAGTTAGAACATGTTCCTTCTTATTGGCAGAGGCAAACTAATTTATGTAATCATAGTATTGAGAAGTCTTAAATAACATCTAGTCTGCTACTTTTTAACCCCAGCTGCATTTTAGAGTTTTTTAAGAACTACCAGTGCCTGAGCTCCACTCATTTGGTTAATGTCTATGGCTGCTTTAAGACTCCATTGGCAGGTTGCAGTAATTGCGACCAAAATTGTATGGCTCACGAAGATGAAACTATGCACTATCTGGCCCTTTTGCTGACCCTAAACCTAGAGTAAAAGAGACAAGGACCTGGGAATGTGAACAATAAAAGCTGAGCATGGATATTGAGCCTATAAAAGAAACTGGGAAGATTCTGGTTGGGCGGGGGAGGTTAGGAGGAAACCAATGAGAAAGGAATATCATAGAAGCCAAAGGAGGAGACTATTCAAGACAGGAAGGATGGTCTTCAGAGGCAAATGTTACTGAGGGCTTGCGTATGGTGCAGGCTAAAATATGTCAGTTAGATCTGAATGAATGAAATGTCATCAGTGACTTTAGTAAGAGGTATTTCAGTGGCATGGCAGAGGCAGAAGCCAGACAGGATTGAGTTGAAAGGTATGCAATGGAGATGTTGCATTTAGATGAGTCTCAAGAAATTTCATTTTCCAGAGAAAGAGAAATGGAAGAAGCTAGAGAGGAATTTGGAATCAAAGGAAATTTTTTGTTTGAGATGGAAGAGATTTGACTGTATATAAATGTTAAAAGGAAGAAGCCATTTAATAGGAAAGTGGTGAAGTATTTAGTCCCAGAGGAAGAATGAAAAAAAAAAAATGTTGCTAAGAGTGGAGATGGAGGGCTGAGGGTGGGGGGAGAATGGGGAGGGGTGGGATCCAAGGACGGATTGGTAGATCTGCTTTAGGCAGGAGGATGGGACAGCTCCTCTGTGTCAATCAGGGAAGTAAGAGAGGTGGGGCTCAGGCATACTTAGATTTGCAGATTTGGTACCTAGTGGGGCTTTCAGATACTTGCCATTTGATGGTTTCAAATTTCCCAATGAAGTAGAAAAGAGGTGAAGTCATTTAATGGGATCATTAATTTAATGAGGGGGTCAATTTGTGTGCAAGGGTTGGTGGGTGGAGGTTACAAGTTTGAAGAGAGAGAAGATTGAGAAAGATTTATGATACGAGAGAGTATCTTAGATAAATGTAATAGGATGATGGAGCCAGTATAGAAAACTTATTCAAGAATGGTAATCATACATTTATATTGACTCTGATTTGCCCAGGTACTTGACTTTCCCTGACAGTGTGGCTGCTCAAGGCAAATCCAGAGAAAACAATCATTTATTTGCAGCTGGAGGAATGATGAGAGAAGTGCAAGAGATTTTAGGGAATTAGTGTTATTGAAATAATGGACTATGGAACAAAAGGTGGATAAGGAGGTATGTGAGTGAAACAAGATCTGCTGGGCCAATATTTTTGAATTATTATTAAAGATTGTATTTATTTATTTTAGAGCGAGAAAGAGAGACAATGAATGTGAGCAGAGGGAGGGGCAGAGAGAGAGGGAGAGAGAGGAAGAAAATCCTCAAGCGGACTCCTTGGTGAGTGTGCAGCCCAATGTGGGGCTCGATCCCAGGACTTTTGAGATCATGACCTGAGCTAAACCAAGAGTCAGACGTTTAACCAGCTGAGCCACTCATGTGCCCTGACCAATGATTTTAATAAGATGAAAGAAAGGTTGCTATAGGAGTAACTGAATAAATAAGTTGGAAGGAGAAGAGATGATGGTGAGAGCATAGGATTCTTGAGAGATTGAGTTTGGAAGTGGAACAGTTTGGGGTAATGACAATATCCAGTGAAGAACTGGGTGTATGACAGGGAATTCACCATTGGAGTGCTGTTCTGCTTATGTGAAAAGACAACACTCTCTCCTTGCATCACTGGAAACTGGAATAAAAGAAGATGAGATATTGGTAGATTTTGATTTCTTCTAATGTTAGAGAAAGGGTGCAATTACTTTCATCTGGTTAAAAACTTGGACTTTAAGCTGAAATTTCTTCAGCGATATAGAGGGATTCTAATCATGTTAATGCACTAAGGTATAAAGAACATAAAAAAATGAAAAATCAGAAGCATTTTTGTTTTTCATTACTGATATTGCCATTTACACTCTTCTTAGGTAAAAGGAAATTGCTGTAATAACTGGTCTCTGTGGGAAGTCTTTTTGGCTTGTCTCTTAGCCTCTGTGATAACAACAGCAATTGGAGTACTCATAATATGCCTGGTGAACAATAGAGGAAGTGACAATTCTCCCATTACTAGCCAGCTATCCTCCAACAATGACATTCCCAGAATGACATCTACTACTACCAAACCTGCAGTGACCACCACTTCAACTGAACCTACAACTATAACCACTTCCACAGAATCTGCAACCACTGCAATGTCCACTGAACCTACAACCTCCACAGCCCCCACCACTGCTACAACAGGACCTACAACTTTGACAGCCCTCACAGTCACTACAGCAGAATCTACAACCTTGGCAGGTGCCACCGTCACTACAACAGGATCTACAGCCTCAACAGGTGTCACCAACACCGCAACATGACTGACAACCATTACCACCACTACAACCAGACTTATAAACACAACCTCAATCACCCCTTAAAGGAAACCCACAGGTACAACAGCTACCACTATCACTTTAACTGAACATACAACCACAAAAGCTACAACCACCACTTCAAGTGAAACCCCAGCTAATGCCACTTTAACAGAATCTACAACTGTTGCAACTTCAGTAATAACAAATGCCATTATAGCTTAATCTTAGTGGACAACCAAAACAGTTACTACATCTACCATCTCTTCAACTGAACCCACAGCTTGACTTACTTCAGCTGAATCTACAACTACCACCCTTCTACTTCCCCTACAACTACTGTAACTGCCACTTAGTTTAGACTAACAGTGTTCATTGCTCTCCTTCAACCATCTGTAATCTTCACTATTCACCTAAAGTACAAATGCCACCATTCTCACTTTTCTAGAGTTACCATCATTTGTCAAAATGTTCTCTTCTGTGACAAGTTATGCTTTAGTTATGATCACTACAACAGCCTACAACCATCCTCCTCACTGGCTCTTCTCCAAAACTGCCTCTTCTCCAATATCTGCTGAATCTGTACCTACCACCATCACTCCATTTTACTTGTGGCAGCTACCGTGGTGCCTGTTGAATAACAATAACTTAGTGTGCAATGGAATAATTATCTGAACTTTCACTAAATCAATACTTTAGGAGTTCCAAAAGTCTTTTTTTTTTTTTAAAGATTTTATTTATTTGTCAGAGAGAGAGGGAGAGAGAGCGAGCACAGGCAGACAGAATGGCAGGCAGAGGCAGAGAGGGAGAAGCAGGCTCCCCACCAAGCAAGGAGCCCGATGTGGGACTCGATCCCAGGACGCTGGGATCATGACCTGAGCCGAAGGCAGCTGCTCAACCAACTGAGCCACCCAGGTGTCCCAGGAGTTCCAAAAGTCTTAATACTGATTTTATTTTTAAAGAGCTGAACATTTATGCCATACAGATCTGCTTTTGTTTCTCTATTTCAAAATAATATAATTTCTATGGACAAGGTAACCCAATTTATTGAGAAAATCTTTTAAGAAATTTTATATAAAACTTCAGAGTAAAATTAGTCATTTAGATTTTAATATGTATTGGTTTCTATTCAGAACATAGCATTTTTCTATACACAAATTACATGCACAACAATGAACAAATTTTATATGTGGAGATTTAGACAAACATGTAGAGAAAATGTTAGAATTTAGAAATTTTTGTTATGGTGAAGTTTGTTTCTGCAGTTTCTCTTTAGATTATAATTACCCTGTAAGCAACCATATTTAATTTGCATTAATATTAGTGAAAGTACATTTGAATCTCTATTAAAATTTTTTTTTTGCAAAAATTTATTTGTAATCAAATACATATCTTAAGTCCCAACTATGTACTAAAGTTTGGAAGATACAGAAGAAAGTAACAATGTAAATAAGTAGTAAATTCATTAATTTACACCCTGTTACTATTGAATTCCTAATAATTGTAGCAGGTTTAAATTATAATTGCTGATACCCCAATTATAATTGCTGATCTTAATCAGGGTCTTTAGATTGCAACTAGTAATCTATTACTTAAAAAACTTAATAGGTGTTTGTGACGTCAGGGCAGGTTTGAGAATCACCGGTTCAAAGATCATAGTATAGGAATCACATTAGTTAGTGTGATATATATTTTAATTTAAAAAATTAAATATCAGTATCATGTTCAAGGCATGCAAAAAAAAAAAAAGAATTGTAAACCTAGTTATGTGCAAAAAAAACCCTTACTTAGTCAATTATATATATGATCAAGAGGGGAATGTTTTATTTACTACATTATATAAAAAATATTTTCAAGAAAAACATATTATAGCTTCTAGACAAACTAAATTATTTAAAATTTCTTATATTGGACCACAGTGGGGGAATCTGGGTGGCTCAGTAAGTTAAGCATCTGCCTTCAACTCAGCTTATGATCTCAGGGTCCTGGGATTGAGCCCCATGTTAGGCTCCCTGCTTAGGGGAGTCTGCTTCTCCCTCTCCCTCTGCCTCTCCCCCGCCACTCATGCTCTCTCTCTTACTCTTTCTCAAATGAACAAATAAAATCTTGAAAAAAAAACTGGACCAGAGTGAATACTCATTGTTAATTCTTACTAGATGTTATTGTCATTATAGGTACTTAGAAGTAATGACATTCTAGTAAATACATTAATTGAGATTCTTTTTTTCTTTTTTAAGATTTTATTTATTTATTTGACAGAGATCACAAGTAGGCAGAGAGGCCAGCAGAGAGAGGAAGGGAAGCAGGCTCCCTGCTGAGCAGAGAGTCTGACTCAATCCCAGGACCCTGGGATCATGACCTGAGCCGAAGGCAGAGGCTTTAACCCACTGAGCCACCCAGGCGCCCCATTAATTGAGATTCTTAATAATGCACATTGGCCTTTCCCCCGCTTCTTGCTGTTTTATGAGCTCTTTAAATCTTTGGATGAGATATTTAAAACATCGCTGATTAGACCATTCAGTTTCTGACTTGGAGTTACATTTTGTGATTCTGTAACAGGTTTGCTCCTCATCAGAATGATAAATGATCCAAAGTTTAGTCACACTTGTAAATAGATACATCTACAGCTTATTTGATAAAGAATGTTAACATTGCCTTGGGCTGCAATATAATTGGTCCATAAGATATACACATTGAATAAAGAGATAAATGGTAGCTGGCTTGTGCTACACAAGAACCATGAAAATAAACCCTCTCCGGGCGCCTGGGTGGCTCAGTGGGTTAAGCTGCTGCCTTCTGCTCAGGTCATGATCTCAGGGTCCTGGGATCGAGTCCCACATCGGGCTCTCTGCTCAGCAGGGAGCCTGCTTCCCTTCCTCTCTCTCTGCCTGCCTCTCTGCCTACTTGTGATCTCTCTCTGTCAAACAAATAAATAAAATCTTTTAATAAAAAAAAAAAAAAAAGAAAATAAACCCTCTCTCTCACTTATTATTCCATCCCTCTAGCATTTTAGTAGACCCCAATAGATATTTATTTTAAATTTCAAATAATTATATTTGGTTTAGCTCTTAAATGTTAGTATTAAAACATTTTAGCCCATTTTTATTTAGGTTGAATCATTCTAATTCTTTTAATCTTTTTTTTTTCCTGAAAGATGTACTTTCTACTTTTTAATAGTACACTTGATATTTTCTGAATGCTCACAGTTTCCATAAATTTGGAGTTCATGTGTTCTTATAGTACCACTGACCTCAGGTCTCTGTTGATCATTGGATGGTGGCAGAACTGGGGGAAACTACAGTAATTACTAATAAACTACTGTATACCAAGCAAAGATTATAAAGGATTTTATTACATTCAGCTCATACTTGTGTTTCCCCTTATGTGATTTTTACCCTATGGTCCGAGGGTAATCCACCATACGCCCCCGTACCTCTCCTATTCTGAGAAATATCCACAACCAAAGAATATTCTGTGTTCCACACCTCTGTTTTGCTTCTCAGCATTACTACATTTAATGAACATTATTTGGAAGTTTCCTCTCTGTTTAAACTATTTGGAAATGGTCATATTGGTTTATCATCTTAACATTCCTAGAGCCATCTAAAGGCAAGGGTGCAGCAAGGACACAGACAACGGGGTCTTGTGCAAACAGGAGGAACATCACTTTTATTCAGCTGTAAGTCACCAATCATTTACAAGATTGAATCCCACTTGCCAGCTTTTATACAGGTAAATCAATGGGGTAGGTCAAATGACAAAACACTCCTTATCCAAGCTGTGTGGCACAACTCTTTGGGAAGAGTGAGAAGTGAACTCAGGCGCAATCTGGGGAGAGCGGAAAACATGCTGATTCTACATTAATTGCCCACTGAATACATCTTCTTCCTGTGACCTAAGGGACCAGATCTGGTGCTTCTACTGACATCTCAAGCCGTGCATAAGTGATGATTCACAGGCACCTCGCTGAGGTCTGCGCTCTTTCCACCATATCTGGGCTCAGCTCTGTGCTTGAGGGGAGGAAGATAATGGACTCTGACCTCAAGGGGCTTATTCCCTAGTAGAGGATTTAATACATACAGGTGCAAAATACTAGCTGTAGCATGCCTTTGAACTCAATTAGGAACTCTTCTGAACTTACTTCATAATAACAGGGTTTGGAGTGAAGTTTTTCTGGTTTGTAGTTTTGCCATTTTTCGTACATTGATTCTATTGTTTGTTCATTTCAGTTTATTCATTCAACAAATATTTATTCAGTACCTATTGCATGTCAGGTTCTGGAAATATAGCTGTAAATAAGAACAAGGTTTTAGCTATCAGAGTTTACCTTATGATAGAAATAGGCAATAAATATGCAAATGCATAAACAAGATAATTTCCTGTAGTTAATAAATGCCATAGGGTCATGGAAAATAGTAAGTAACTGGAGTGAAGGTGGAGATACTCGATAGGAGATTTTTATAACCTCAACATTATGACATTTTGGGTCATATTCTTGTTCTGTGTGATGCGAACATGTTTAGAAGCAACTCTGCCTGCTCCCAACTAGATGCCAGTACCACCTGCCCCCTGGTGGGATGACCAAAAATGTCTTCAGACGTTACCAAATGTCTCCTGTGGGGAGGAGGAAACATCTACTGCTTAAGATGCAGTAATTCTGGAGATGACGTTTGGGAAAGATGTCCAAGTACTAGGTCCCAAAGCACCTTTGCTGCAGCCCTGAGAGGGGTATGATGGCCCACTGTGGACCTTTGGTTTCTGCAAGAGTCTGGAGTTAGAGCTGTCTCTGCAGCAGAATACTAAGGCAGGTTTGCTGGCAAAAGTGTAGGAGATTCCTCCTCCAATTCCCCACTGCAGACCTGGCTGCACTGGCCTCTATTCTGATCCCTTATTCTCACATCCTATGTTTCCCACAATCCTCTTACTGGGCCAGGAATCTCTGCCTGTCTTTGTTTTTGCTTTTGCTTTGTCTGCACCTCTAGTGATGGGTGTCTCCTCTCTGAACT